GGTGTTTGTAGTTTAGTTACAGTACAACCATGTGGTTGGTTCTGGTATTTGTAGTTTAGTTACAGTAGAACCATGTGCTTAATTCTGGTTTTTGTAGTTTAGTTACAGTAGAACCACGTGGTTGGTTCTGGTGTTTGTAGTTTAGTTACAGTAGAACCACGTGGTTGGTTCTGGTGTTTGTAGTTTAGTTACAGTAGAACCACGTGGTTGGTTCTGGTGTTTGTAGTTTAGTTACAGTAGAATCATGTGGTTGGTTCTGGTGACTGTAGTTTAGCTACAGTAGAACCATGTGGTTGGTTCTGGTGTTTGTAGTTTAGCTACAGTAGAACCATGTGGTTGGTTCTGGTGTTTGTAGTTTAGTTACAGTAGAACCAAGTGGTTGGTTCTGGTGTTTATAGTTTAGTTACAGTAGAACCAAGTGGTTGGTTCTGGTGTTTATAGTTTAGTTACAGTAGAACCACGTGGTTGGTTCTGGTGTTTGTAGTTTAGTTACGGTAGAATCACATGGTTGATTTTGATGACTTAGATGAAGGTTACTGAATCATCATTCAGGAAAACAGATACTGGTGATAATTTTCAATAAGGCATGTATGCTTATAATGTTTCATTTGGTCTTTGATGTGTTGTAGTTTATAGTAATTTAGAATTAACATTTATATGTATACAATGAAGTGACCGCTGCATTAACTTGAAAAATATACATATAATTCCCAGAATAACTAAAGGAGCAAGCTTGAAAGTTATTTTTAGATTTGTTGGCATGGGCAACAATGTTTGCTCTTGTTGGAAAGAGATCAGTAAGAACAAAGCAAAGGGATTATACATGTACATTGATAGTATAACTTTCTGGAGCTGTAGAAACGTAGTTTGATACTCAGTATGAAAAGATAGTTGTGTGAAATTTATATTAAAACAGTGATATCATCATTTTTTCTAACATAAGATTTGGTAATTTAATCAGATTTTAAACAGTTTTTATTTAAGTTTTAGTTGCTTCTGTTTTGTTTTGATAAGTCTATGTCAGTTAATTTTGTTTACAGTTTAAAGACTTGTACTAAAGGTTTATTCTCAGTAACAGTTGCTTACACAAAGCGACCAGTGATTATTCTTTATTAGTAGCTACTAATTACGATATAACATGGTTATAAAGAAACTTTACTAGTCTACCTTCTGTCTGCAAATAGTCTTATTTTTTAAGTGCAAAACATGACAAAGAAATGATGTTTTCCTGCATTTTCTCTACTTTTGAATTTTTTGAGGATACCTTAATGTTCTCAGTATTGATCTGGACGTTCTAACACCTTAACATTCACAAATGTAACTGAGATATTATCACCTGTTGGTGAGTTTATTAAGCTGTCAAGTACAAGAAAGTTGTGAAATTTGTTAGGCCAGAATACAAAACAAGTTAAATAGTTTTCAGTTGCTTAGAACGGTGTTGGTCATCGTAATAAAGGATATTAAAAGTAACATTACAGTTGGCTTATAACTGAGTGTGATGAGTTACGTGATGGGTTACTCTGTTTTACAACTTTTAATTTTTGTGTTAATATATCATTGCTGGAACTGATAAAAGTTTTTTTTTGTGTGAAATAATTTTTTATGGTCTATTATGGAAAACACAGAATCTGGTATGAAAAAAATGTTTGCAAATTTTCCTGTTTTTAGGGAGTGAAGAACATGAGTCTTCAAGCACGGGTCCGTCTCCTCCATGCTACTCCAGCATGTACAGCCCTTGCTAAGGTAAGTATTGTTCATGCATGTGTTTCTTTACAGACATACCTAAAGCCTTATAACATTTTCATTGTTGTTAAATCATCTTCTTCAAGTGTTTAACTAAGATGACAGCACTATATGTAGTTGAATGAGATGGGGACATTTTCTGTGAAATTTCCTTAAAGCAGATATCAGAGTTTCAACTTTCCACTCAGGTCATCACAGAGTTGGTAGAAAACGTCTTTAAAAAACTGCTGCAAGTGCTGGAGTTGACGATGTCCGTTGACAGAGAAATATG